GCATCCATTTCCTTTGTCCCCCCTTTTCTTTCTCACGTGGAATGATGCGGGTGATGATGTTCAGCCTGGAGAAGGGACACCAATCATGCCACCCTGAATTTTGACATTTCCCTCCCTCCTGTTTCATTGTAGGGTTGGCACAGACACCTTCTACCGCAGCGAATGAGAGGGTGAAGAGAGCAAGGCTTCCCTGGTTTCTACCTTGGGGGGGGGATGGGGGAGGGTGACCCTTCCAACCTCTCCCAGCAGATGCTCTTCTCCAATAAAATGTTTGCCTGAGCAGCCTCGGCCTCCCTGGTCTTTCAGAAGCTCCCTGGGTGCCAGTCTGCAGGTTTCCAGGAGAGGCCCGGTAGGACCCCCATCTGGAGTCGGGGTTGGGGGCCCCTCAAAGCTAGCTCTGGGGTAGAGTTTCTTTACACAGCCTTTGCCCTTGAAGACTTTGGGAACCTGCAGCCAATCCACTGAGGATCTGACCTATTAATTTATTAGGTAATTATTAAAGGATTTTTGCAAATGAGCCATGAATTAGCTTCACCCAGACCTGCTGCATCCTAATCACGTGGCCTAAGATTTGCTTGATAAGAGTCATTGTTAGACTGCGGAGGGTGGGGGGGATTTGCCTCCCTTCGGGAAGGACGAGGAGTAACGGGGCCAACGGTACCGGGGATGGGGAGTCAGGCTTAGCGGGGAGCGGATTCCCTGAGCGCAGCAGCCCTTCGCCCCACAGAGCGGCGGTTTTCGCCAGAAACGGAGAAATATTTCCCGGGCCGGAATGGGATGAGTGGTATGGCTGCCTTCACGTGCCCACTTCTTCTCGGGCGCCGTTTTCCAGGGCTATTTGACTGCAGGGGAGATTTAAACGAGCATCCGGGCTGCCAATTCGCCTCCGGCACAGGAAGGCGAGCCAGGGGGGAAAGGGAAGAGGAAGAGGAGGAAGGCGAGGTACCGGCCAGCAAAAGTGTGGGGAACAGAGGGTCTCGCAGAGGGAGCAAGCAAACTTACAAAAAGGGGAGCTCTCCCTCCCTTTCTCCCCATCTCTCTCTCTCTCTCTCTCTCTCTGTCTCTGTCTCTGTCTCTCTCTCTCTCACACACACACACACACACACACACGCGCGCGCAAACGCAAACGCAAATGCTTTCTCTCCCTTTTCTCTCTTTCTTTCCAAAGGCACCAGGACGAAGTATGTGGGGGCAGAGGGTACAGCCGTGCAGCGAAGCCTGATCGGATTGTTATTAACTATGTCATTATGGGGGCAGGGGTGGCAGCCCCCCCCTCGACCGCTTTTTTTTCTCCTCTCGAGTACATCAAAGCAAGCTCCCCGGTACCCTGTGCCCCAGGCTCCCCACCCCTTGGCGTGGGGATTGGCTGCCCGGATGAGAGTTTAAATGTCCCACGCAGCCAAATAGCCCTAGAAAAGTGTCCCTCCGTGAAACGGCCGGGAGGAAGGGGCCGGATTGGAGCGCTGGCGGACCAATGGCGGGGGAGGAGCGCTGTGGAGAGCCAGCCGAGTAAGAATGCCCTTGGGTCAGCCGCGGTGTGGTTCCCAAGAAGAAGTGCCCCCCCCCGCCCCCCTTGCTGCCGAAGTGCAGCTCAGCAATTTCGCAGAAGCGTCCGCCCCTCGGGCGGGGATGCAGCCCCTCCCAGTCGAGGGCGGTGGAGGGACGCGGTGCGAGCGGGGCTTTATAAGGGGCGTCCCGCGTGGAGCTGGCACGTGTACCTTTCTGGAGTCCACCATGGCGATTGGCCTGGCAGCTCTGGGGCTCCTCGCTTTCCTGCTCGGCTGCCTCGGAACCTTTGCTGAACCCCAAAACTCGGAGCCAGCCGCCAAGGTCAGATGAGGGGTGGCGGGCGAGGGTCCCAGCATACCCTGGGGAAACCCCTCCCCGCCACCAGCCTCTGCTCGGGTGGGCGGCAGGAGGAGCTGGTGGGAGCCGGCGGGCTGCGCAGAGGGTGCCGCTTCCTCGGGGTTGATCGCACCCGGTGCCGTCGCGCTTAGCGCCAGAGGCCCTGGGTCCCCGACGGACGGACGGACGCCCATCGTTTCCTCCTTTGTGCTCGGCCGCTTCTTGGGCAACCTGCCGCTGAGGCTGGTGCTCTCTCTCGCTGCGCAGATGGATGAGCGATCCGCCCGCGGGGTGTCGTCCCGGATGCGGTCAGGCAGGGGCCTCCACCGACGGACTTTGCGATGCACCGCCTTTGCCAACCCCACTCGGCGTGGGCATCCTGGGATTCGGGCACGTGGGAGTAGAGGGTGTTTTCAGATCTCACGGAGAAAATGAATCCAAAGTCTCTACCTGTTGGACAGCTGAGCTTGTCTAGCGCTGTGACCCGTTTCCCCCCCCTTCCCGCTCTCCTTTAGTGCTCCCTGACCGGCACCTGGAAGAATGACCTCAACTCCACCATGGAGATCAACAACGTCAGTAACACGGGGGTGTTCATTGGCCTCTACAAAGCGGCAGTCTCGGTTTCCGGCCGGCCCATCCAGCCATCCCCGTTGCTGGGCATCCAGAACCAGAGTTTCCAGCCCGTCTTT